GGAGACCTCAAGTGACCAGACAGTGACGTCGAGCGAGCCTCCGGCTCCTGCCAACTCAGCATGGTAGCAACACTTGTTGGTTCTGGGTTCTTGTGTTGTTGTGTTCGTTTTGGATCGCTCGAACCTTTGGAACACTTGATCCGAGAGTAGCAGCTTCGCATTCGTCTTCAATGTGGCAATACTGGCTGCCGATCGAGCCTCCTCGACCTTGATGGCGGGCTTCCTGAAGCCGCCACCTTGTCTGTCCCAAAGGCGGCAAACGCATTCCAACAGACATGGCCACCGATGCCCGCTAAGATCTAGCCGCGCCCCACCCTACCTCCCGAACCCCGGGCTACTACTCCACATTTGACATGGCATGCACCCAGCTTTTCTTTGCAGGTCTAGAGCCACAATTCAAACAGCGAGCGCAAGACACGATCAGAAAGATCAAGCAAATGAGATCTTTCTTCAAGTCTGAACATATCTTTTGGGCTGCAATCCCAAGAGTGACGGCAAACCTTCCCAGCACTGTGCGGAGAGCGGCCAAGCTTGGAGACATATGCATTCACGCTCACATTCTGGACGAAATACCGGCGCAAGTTGCGCTCAATCCTGAGCACAGGTGGAACAGTAGCCCCTCCACCCCAAGCCTTGTAAACAACACACCCATCAAGGCAGCCAAGCATCTGATGTGTGAGCTCCTCACATGCAACTTCATCAAATGTGGCTAAGTGTCCAACTTTTTGAACTTGGAGCAACAGAGCAGAGGCGTTCCCATTCTATCTGCCAGCACTATTTGGAAGGCTTTGGGATTGTGCTTCGGAAGGCACCTGAGACAAACAATGCAGTTCGAACACGATCCTGGCGGAGGCACTGCTTACCAACTAAGTATCGAAGGAAGCCAGGAAGGGCCCGAAAGTACCCGGAGGCTTGTGGTACTACGCACCGCACTTGACATGGGCCGCGAACTCATGCGAGCTCAACCTGCCACCGCGCCTTCATGGGCGTGATGATGAGTGCAGCCTTGCAGCCGCCTGGCAGAAGGCTCACCGCTTGGATGACCTTGGATCACTTGCAAGGCTGGAAGCCCAGAACGTCGCAGGCGACTGAGGGCTCTCTGCTAAGTTCGGTGGTTTGTGATTCAGGGTTCAGGGTTTCTGCAGCACTCTATTTGGATTTGGGCTTTAGGGTTGCGAGTTGCCCTGGCAAAAGTAGTCTTGGTCGAGAGGCGTGTGCAGCCACAAGAGTCTTTCCAGAGCCAGGAACGCCGCACAAGCAGACTTTCTTGGGCTTCGGTCTACGCGCAGCCTTGGCCCCCTTGGCTGTTGCAGGGGAGCCCAGTGTCAGCCTTAAACTTGCTGGGTTCATGTTTCAATGACAACAGCCAATGTACAAGCCACCCCCACGGCTCTGCAAGAGTTGGGGCGCTGAACCTCAATCCAGTGTAGATACTGCGAAAGTCTCCAAACTCTCACCCGCCCCCCTGCCCCACCTCAGACGGGTCATTCTTCAGTTTGTCCAACTCCTGCGCTGGGTCCTGCAGCTTGCTTTCGCCGAAAAGGTTTATGGAATGTTGCCTGTGAGCACGAAAACATGAGGTTCGTGCTTGTGTCGACGAGAACCGATCGAGTGACTTTGTGAGTTGTTGGTTCTCAACCGCTGTGCAATGCTGTGCAGAAGCATGTTCCGCAGACCACAGCTTGAAATTTCCTGCGCGACTTGCCAAGGCCACTTGTCACATTAGAGGTGTGCAGTGTGGGTGGCCCTATTGTGGAATGCGCAGCTGTGGGAAGAAAGGCGTAGTGCGTCGTTGCGTTTTTATTTGCACGGCCTGGCCAAGCCAAAGCCACAGTCAACAATGGCAGCTGCTGGAAAGAAGTGAAAATAGGCCATGCTGCAGCAAAAGCTTCTTTTGCGAGAGTTTTGGGTTGCAGCTGTCGGTCCGCTCGAATCTCGGCATCAAGTGCTCCATCCATCACATTGCCGATGGCAAGCTGGGCACATACTGGTAACCACACGGGGAACAGAAAGCCCATGGACGTATGCCTTGGCACTGTAAGCCCACACATCAGACGCAGACAAAAACAGACATGATGGTATCATGCAAAATGTCTCCATGCTGAACTTAAGGTCAGGGAATACGGGGACGAAAGTGTTGGAGATGCACACGCAGCATCATGAAGCTAAGGCATTGCGGCAAGGGGCAATGCCACAACAAAGCAGGAAGAACGGAAGAACTCAATTCTCCATGGGGCGAAGAATATGACTCAGCAGGCTTCATGCGTCGGAACGCCTATATAACTATAAGCAGGCTTAGGAAAAGGAGAAGGGGCTCCTCAAAGAAATGGACGATGGTATCCACGGCCTCTTGCTGCTTGGGATGCAGTTTTGGTGCCTCATGCAGAGGCTGGAGCAAGAGCCATCATCCATGAGTATGCATCTGACAGTTGATGTCTCGCTTCCGTAAAACAAATTGCACTGGTCCGCCTCGCTCTTCAGGAGAAGGCCTTCATGGTCTCCTTCCTCCTTGCCCTTACTTGAAGTCGTGCGAAGAGGAGAGCGCCTCAGCGGCTCTTTTGCTGTTGCAAACCCTGCTGTAAAAGCCTGTCCATGAGGAACTCTTCCATAACAAAGCTGGACATGACAGTATAGCTGGCTTCTGACAAAACATCGTGCAAGACAGACTGCACGTACACGGCGCGACTACTGGAGGTAAGTCCGCTGACCCAATCCACACTTGCGACGCACTCCTGGGACTTCCTTGGACCCTTTCTGGATCCCCCCCCTTGAACCCTGGATCAGCCTAAGACCCCTGAACACACAGCCCATAAACATTTTGGGACCCCATTGAGGCTTTTGGGGGGTGTGGTTTGACCCTGCTTTGAAATGGAATCCTTTGGGAGGCTGCCGAGTCCGAGGCCGCTCGCAAGCAAGCGTTTCCAGCTCGTTTTCATGCCCTGACGGCAGCTACTCCCTGCGCTGCGCCCTAGGCCCATCCCAGCATGCCATGCAGAGGTTCCAGCGCCCATTTTCAGGAGCCGGGGAGCAATGAAAGATCTGAGAGTGCCGGTGCCATCTGCCGCCGCTGCCTTATATAGCATGCATAATTGTATAGTCGTATGCGAAAATCCGCAATCTCATTCCGTGAACGTGCAGACAGTAGTTCACGTGTAGTTGGACGCTAGCGTCTGGCGCCCTGACACGCCTTAAAGCCCTAATTACGCCACGGGGCACATGGTTCCTGGCTTTTGCCCGATGCAGAAGAGACATGCAGCCTCCCACGTGACAGACGGGCCATAGTAACGCAGCATAGAGTCATCAAGACGATGCTGCCGAGGCGAACTCTACAGCCGTCTGCAACTCCCAGGACGGGCTATTACTACCTATAACCCCTTAAAGAGGCCCTTCATAGGGTTCACTATGGGCCATGGGGATTATGGGGCCGAATAGCCCATCCTGGTCTACAATCCAACATTCAGATAGCTTGCGTCGGCCTGTACAGCTGACCAATATGCCACGGCCAAAGGCGCACATCTGCGACGAGCTCGCCGACGAAGTGCTTCCCACGACGGTTTGTGATGAGCAAATCTGGATAGATCTGGGATGACTCTGTACTCGCTGTACTCTTGCATACCTTAGTTGCCAGAACTCGAGCTCGGGAAAGCTTGCTTTAGAACACAACGCTTGTCTTTTCCAGGGATCGCGCAGTGCGCAAAGCGCAGATGTGGCACTGAATGGCTTCGAGGTAGTCACGTACTCTGTTCGGACTGCAAAAACAGGCACAGCAGGAGCACTCGGAGCATTCCTTCGCCAAAAACAACCCCTGATTCCCAAGTCGTTAAGTCTGAGGCTGCACAAAGATTAAAATCACAGGGAAAAGTATAGGATCGAAGGAGCATCAGGACAGAGGGCTTTGTTTCCATGAGTGGCAAGCGACACCAAGGAATAACAATACAAGCTCCATCTACTCCACACACTGGCCAACTCCACACAGACCTCTTAAACACAACGCATAGCACAAAACTTAGCGATGACCACACCCCGTAGGCCAGGAATGCAACAAGAGCGCGTCTCCGTCCCAGGCTTGGTCGACGAAGATGCGGTTTGGACACCACCTGCGATTCTGATTCGGAATCAGCAGCTTCATTGAGTTCTCACATGTTAGGCCTGTTAGGTATGAGGATCTGCACGGCATGGAATCCCTACGTGGACTGGAACATCCCCCGCCTTCCAATGGCATCCACAGCCATGGCAGGGAAACAGCGCTGACGGCGGCCATGGCACGGACACGGAATCTGCTGGAGAGAGCGCTTTTTGGCTACCTGTGCTACCTCTCACGGAGAGTTTGTCCATGGTCCATGCAGTGCCTGATGCATGAAGGGAGTAGGACCTATAGGATGATTCTTAGTCGCATATGCGACCATCAGCTTTTGAATCTTTTGCTTTCCTTGCAATCGCAGCTGGCCTTGTGCAGCTTTTGCGCCGCTCAGGGTCTAACCCCAACAGACCCTGACCGGCTTGACTTCAAAGCTCGCAAAGTGGACCCCGCAACTCGTCAACTCGTCTGAGAGGGTGTCTTTCTCGTCCTGGCTTTCTTGCACTTTCTCACTCCTGGCTCTGTATGCTCTGTCTCTGTCTCTCGCTCGCTCTTTCTTCATCCTTTCCGTCTGTTCTTCGTGGGGCTTGGGCAAGTCCGATCGTTACCAGAACGGTCTGCTCCAGATTAAAAACCAAAACACTAGCTCACCCGAGCCCGAAACCGTAGAAATACCCCAGGACCTCTATTCTAGCGGTTGGATTGCATTTCCGCCTGCGAGTTCGTTGATTAAGCATGTAGTCAGCCAATTAGATAACTGGATGACTTGTGATATGACTCCGAGGGCGGAGAGATGCATCCGAAACTGGATGTACAGGATCACCCCCGGAAAGGGTTGTGAAGAGCGGAACCCGTTGGCTTCGAGGGGCGACCTAATTACCCTGTTTTGCGCATACCCAACTCTGTTCATGCAGTGGCCCACCTCGTAAAACTGCCAGGCTGTGCCATCCTGGCCGGATGCACTGCAGTTCGGACAGTTCGGAAGGCGTAACACCGGCAAGTTGGCATTGCTGTGACCTTTCTCCCCTTCTCTTTCCCCTAGAGTCCTGTGCTTGCTGCATTCGGTGCTTTCTGAGGGCACCGAGTAGATGCAACGGTAAACTAATGTCGCAGCATACAAGATCGTACAAGTATCAATAAATAAGATGCAGTAAGGGCTGCACGCCGAAGTGGGCATCCAAGTCCAGTATGACAACCTGTAGCACCACTTCGACCCGCTCGAAATTTGATGAAGCATGCTTCTTGTCCACACGCCCGTGGAACAGACATTCAGCTTGGGGATATGCTTTTGGTACCTGATGGCCATTGCGTCGACATGTCTTGTACGTCGCGCACCTTGCTTTGCGGATGCCGCGCAAGCAAGTTACGTACTGCGATTGCAGTCCTTGGTGCATCAGACTGGTCAGAGAGAGAGAGGGCCGTGAATAACAACACAGTACCGTACATCCACGAGGACTGCAGTTACTACAAGTTCTCCCTGCGGACCAAGTGTCTCATTCAATATGCACCCGCCGTGGGCCGCAAAGCGCCATGCGTTCTTTTGAATCGCCTGGGACTGCGTCTGTCGGGACACAGCACGCACGTGCAACGTCATCATGCGCAGCTCCGAAGCCCAAGGCCTCCAACAACTCGTTGCAGCCATTGTGGTGTCCGGGTGGTCGGTTGATCACCATCGCACGCCGTGGCTGTGCAGCAGGGTGCATGCGTAATGAATCCGTTTTTTGCGTAAGTCTGTGTAACTCAGCCCACGTACGCCCGCACTGAGCACTAAAGACAGGCCAGCGAAGGCAACTGCTAGGTGGTACTGTTCCTGCACGCAGGCAGCCGCGGAATATTGCAGCAACGCCTGCCTGCGTCTTGGACTGCATTACCCAGCTGATGGCCTGGCGCACGACTCCCAATGTTCCATGCAGCCCTGACTGCCCGAATAAGCTCCGAACCCATAATCCGCCGAGGCCTCGGGCCGAAGGTGTCTAGGTTGTCAGAACAGTCACCCCCCTTCCAAATCCTCCCCCTGTTGCCTGGAATGGGTCTCCCTCCCCGGATCTCAAAGCGGACGGTTTGACGGGACCAGGGGGCAGTGGGTCCCGGTATAGAATCTGACACCCCCCCTCCCCACACTTACAGCCCAGCTTGCACGACTGACAGCCGATGCGGGCCCTGGCAGCCCTGTGCGGCATGCTACGTCGCGGCGTGGCGTTGTGGGTCAGAGTTGAGGGGTTCGGGTTTCCTCACCCCTACCCCCTCCCCAACCAGCTTGAACCCCAGCCACCCCAGCCCCCCCAACACCTCCCCCCGCCCCACGTCGGCCCCCTCTCCGGGAGCTGCATTGGGCCAGGCCGCCAAGCCGAGGCGGGTCGCGTAGCATTAACATTAGGACTTGTCACTAAGGATAGCCTATACAAGCTCTTCTGCTCCTTCCAGTGGGTGTGAATCTCGAGGCTACTTAAAGTAGTTCGCGCATGTCCGGACTACTTTGAATTATATGAATCTTGGGCATCTCTGGGTTGCTTTGAGCACGGGGTTTGCGCACCTTTGGGGCTAATTTCTCGTCTCCTTCATCGTCGCTCGGCGTGACCTATCTACACGTAAGAGCAGGTTCCGACGCACCATGGGCGCATCCCTGGAAGGGGCACGCCCTAGCTTTTCCTCAAGGAGCAGCTTGCAAAGCCGAGCGCTTCAAGTTATCATGCCAGGCTGGTGCACCTCTTCCCCACACGCATCCTTGACTCCAGACATGTGCCATAAACGCCATTGGTAACTTCTATAAGCACTTAAGGGCCTCCAACGTGATGCCGACGGAGCGGCGCGCCGCACGCTCCGATGAGGCTGTCACAGCGCTCGTCCTCTTCTGCAACAAACAGCAGATCGCGACGGTGCCCTTGAGAGCTTCAGGATAGGGATGAGAGCCTATGAGAGCTACATACTTCGCGGTATCACGGTTCAGTTTGATTGTACATAGTGGATACTACAAACGGTTGAAACGAGGACGGAACTGGGGGTCGATGCCTCCTTCGCTGCCTCTACATGCGCCCTGAAAGGCACAGAGTGTGCTCATACATTCACATCATGCATTATAGGCGTTGTACGGCTTCTCAAGCTCATGCGGTAGAACAGCTCTGCAGCACAGTGCGGTCTCAGTTTTGCGATCCATCGCTAGGCTAAGCACCAAGCAGCTCCAATTCTAGCATGAGTCGGCGTTCCTTTTTTGAGGGGAGCGGGAACCCGGAATCCGGAATCAGACGTGGCCATAACCGTCACCCACAACACACCTTTGCGCTTTGGGGGCGTTGTTTCGAAGTGCTTTTTGGGGGGGGAGTTCTGGAGGAGACGGGGGCCTCTCTAAAGCCCAGTGAATCCAATGTGCGGTTTGCGTACGATATGAACAGGAGCTTCAACCGCAGAGATATTCAAGCCTGCCAGCTTCTGCATAGGCCATCTCAAATACAAAGACTTCTCGCAAACACTAAGTCGTAAGTTGTGCTGCGGACGGCCTTGGCTTCGACAGGCTCTGGAGTTTTCAAGCGTGAAACACAACATATGCCTCCGCGCACGTTCTGTGGACTGCCCCCGGAAAACACGAGCACAAAACAAACAGCAAGAAGTCTTCATCAGGCTGAGCCAGTCCGCAGAATCAGCTTGGTGTCCTAACTGGTTGAATGAATTCTGTCTTTGTGTCAAAGCACTCCGAACAGCCAGAAACAGCGTCAGGAGCTGCAAGGTTACGACATGACCGGGGCACATTCCCCTCCTCGGCTTTACAGCTTTCTGTTGCCACCCAGGATGCTGGGTATGCATGGGTTTTCGCGTACGAGTATCATGGGTTGGTCTGGCTTGCATGCTCCTTGGGAGCATCATTGTATTTCAGGGCCTTTCCCCTGTCACCGTGCAACCCACTTCTCAGGGTTTTAGTCGAATTCTTCCCCCGGGGCTTCAGTCGTGTGCTCGGGAGCCGGCATATTCTCAGCGCTTGCCGCCCGCAGCACCTTCAGAGACAGCAGGTTCAAGGGTTTCGGGTTCAGGCTCGGAACCTCAGAAACGAATCAACACCCGCTGCCGCTGGTGGCAACATAAAGCCTGGCAGTCTAGACTCGAATTAGTTAAGCCATATGGCCACAGAACGACAGCGCAGAGAGTATGGCAAGCCTCCCAGTAAACCCTGCCTTTAACATGCTTCAAGCCCTGAAAATCCTGAAGCCTCGTAACGCAGGAGCTGTATGCACCTTCTCTCTGACACCTGTTCTGAGGTCGAAGAAAGCATCCTGAACCCTAAGCCCGAAACCCGCTCTCAACTTTTTCTGGAAAAGTGTGTGCCTCCCTCCAGCTCTGGCCACGAAGCATCGGCGAGGAAGCCGGCCGAGGCTTACCTAGGGTTGAGGGTCTAGGGTTTCGACTCTCACACTCGCACAAGGCCGGCAAGGCATCGGTTGGTTTAGGGTTTAGGGTTCAGGGTTTAGGGTTTAGATACAAAAGATAGCAGAAGCTCACCCCGACTCAGCCCAGCCTCAACACAGGCCTCCACGCAAATGCCAAGGACTGAAGCCCAAGCTTGGGCAGATTTCGGGCGAGCAAAAATGGTTCAAGGTTCGTGGGTGTAGGCGGTTTAGGGCTCGACCCTCACGTTCGCACGCGGGCAGGCAAGACAGCGGAAGGTCTCGGTAGGACAAACGCACTTCGCGACAATAATTACGGCAGGGTCAGACTGAAAGACAAGCCACCGCAGGAAAGAACCGAAACAACAGACCGAATCGCAGCTTGCGGGTGAACAGGGCTGAGCCAAGTTCACCATCAAAGCTAAAGCTCGCTGAAAACCCCTGAAGCCACAGCAGATTCATTCTTAGCCTGCATGCTTGAAATTGTGGATGCAAGCTCTAGGTCTTTTTTGACTTTTTGAGACCCTCAGCTGGGGGTGTCCGAAACTACAAGTACCTCGTTAGGGTCCTGAATAGAAGGGAATCCCACTATTTTGGGGGCTTTTGTTTAAGGGGTCCCTTATCTTCCTAAACCCCCAACTGTCAAGACCCGAAACCCTAAACCCTAAACCTATAAACCCTAAACCCTAAACCCTAAACCGGGATCAAAGGCTCCCCCCCCCCTCCCCCCCAAGCATCTCTGGCCTCCGCGGCTTCCAAAGCCCACCGACGGTGACGACGAAGGCCTTGAGGAGCGCCCCACAAAGCCTGCATAGGGCTTAGGGCTTCTAAGGGCTTAGGGCTTAGGGCTTAGGGCTTAGGGCTTAGGGTTTAGGGCTTTGGGCTTAGGGTTTGTAAGATTTAGGGTTTATGAGGTTTAGGGTTTTCTTGCGGTTTAGGTTTAGGATTTCCTGCAACACTCCAGCAAAGCCATGTAGGGCTGCGCTTTGGGGATGCTGCGGAGTTTAAGGTCAGTTCCGGGGCTTCGAAGGTTTCGACTCTCACTCAGGTGCACCGGCATTCAGGGTTCGGGGAAGCCATTTGTCCAAATCTCAGACCTCCCCTCTCTCTCTCTTCCCCAAAGCGGAGAAGCCCCCCCCTGTTGTTCGAAACGTGGGTCTTGATTCCAGCTCATTCATTGTAGTTTAAGCCTAAGACTAAGAACAACCCGAAACAACCCTGCATCCTATGAACCTTCTACATATAATGTTGCAGACTTTTGTGCAGGGACCCCATTTTTAAAGCTTCCGGTTTGGTCAGTCGTCCGGCAAGAGCCTCTTCAAAGTCGTTCAAGCTTTACGGGCGCCCTAGACATTCAACATCAATTGCCAGGCCCCCTCATCCTTTAACGATCTACTCTGATCTACCGATGCAAGGCGAACACTCCCTCCAGATGACACCGTAGCCCACGAATGACCACAAGAACGGCCTCGGGAGCTGGGTCTTGTCGAGGGCCTGGACGTTGGATTCGAGGACGGCGCTGAGCCATTGCCATCCAGGTGCGATGGCGGCCTTGAGAATCGAGGACCCGAAACCCAAAAGATCCAACAGGGCGGGGTTCCTTGCGGGGTTCCCCCGGAGTAGCTTCCAGACTCAGAGGGCATGGCGTGTGGATGTTGCAGTGGCTTGCTGAGGATCCTTATTTGGGTGTTTCGAGCGGGTTGCATGCTTCTGCTGGGTACAGTATTTGCGTGGATTGTTCTCGCAGAAGGACGTTTGTTAAGGACCTGGTGGGGGGAACGACTCTGTCCGCTGCTCCTGATGACTCGTGACGTGTGCCCTGACTATGCGCACCCTCGCGCTCACAAAACCTATAGGACACTCTCAAACCCTGAATCCTTCCTAAACTTCAAAAATACATGGTTTCGAGGCGCCGTGCTCAAGACCCCAAACCCTAAATAACTTTAATACCTTCTAAGCACCCCGGTCCTCGTCGTTGGTGTCGAGATCGCCGAGCTGTGGCGAGAAACATACTTTCGCACCTGCCTGAGAAACTCGACATGCAAGCTCGCGGCGTGTTTCTGCATGTATCTTGCGCATGCGTGATGTATACACCCTGCAAGGTATAACTTCGTGTTAACATGCGCATGTACAGAACTAAGTCTGTGTATGTACACATGCGTGCATGTTTGTAGATGTTGTTCATCTCTTCCCATAGTTAGAGCACCTTGCTCAAAGGACATCTTCATTCTGCCCATGGTGTGGCTTGTAAGGCTCCACTGCAGTTTCCCTGAGTGCAGCCGAAGAGTCTCGTGCACAACTTGCTCCTCGTCGCTTGGTACACCTTGCATATATTTGCAAAGACCCTACGAAGCATGCAGCTGAACCAGCATCTAGAACCCCAAAAGGCCGTTCACTCCCCCTTCTCCCTCCAACAAAACTTCCTGCTCAGCCCCAAGCCCTCAGGAGGCCCCGAGTCCCAGAACACAGAAAACCTCCAGGGCCGGGCCACGTGCCAAGACGTCGCCTTCGGCAGGCGGCACTTTGGCACCTCTGGGCTGAAATCTCAAGACCCTCTTAGGCTCCAAGAGAAATGGGTTTAGTGTTGGGAGTATGGTCATCCAGCCCTGACCTGTCCTGGCGCATGTTTAAAGGAGATGTGCGAACAAGATGAACAAGTGTATGAGTTGTTTGAAGCACCTGCTACTGTCTATATAGACGAAGTACTGCTCACCCAGAAAGCCGCCAACTTTGCAATGCCATCAATATTCTCAGTCGTACAAGTTGTTCGACGATCGCCGTCAGCTCTTTCACGGCCAGCAAGCCGAATCGTGGCAACACGACAGTATACGACAGTGCTGCATTGTGGTCTATAAGCGGTTCTCCATGCGCACTGACCAACGCCTAAGAAGATGCGACATTCCTACTACATCGTTCTGTCAGGTGTGCCTTGCAAAGTGGAATCTGCCCTAGCCGTGTTGCTGTTAGACTACCGTTCATTGAGATTTCTGGGCCCACCTTCTGAAAGAGTTGCGACATGTTTGGCGGGGGGTGGGCGGGTGGTGGGCGGGTCGTGCCCCCCCAACCCCCTTAATCACAAACCTGCGCCCTGCAGAGAACTATTCATGTTTATAGGCTCCTGTTCTTGGCAACCCAATGCTCGAGCATTACTAACACTGAGCTGATAGTGCTGACACCGGGTGCAGGGGTCCTAGCCCTCGTTCTCTACATTCAACCCAGGAAACTAAACGCTTGACCACTGCTCTTAGCGCGTTACCGCGAGTACAAACAGGTTGCTTGCTCACACTGCCCACGGTGGACAACATTGTTCCGCAAGAGCTGGTTATGGTAGGCAGAATTGAAGATGAAGTTGGGGTCTGTGCCACGTGGGTTGTCACATGGGTTGTAGGTCAGCAGTCGAGGCACACGAACTTCAAAACTTTGATCAACACCTACAGCAACGCTTTCGGAAAGTCCTTACGCTTATGCTCGAT